TAAATTATTCGCATTTTAGATGTTAGGCCAGGATTCAGGAAAGGGAAAGATCAAAGTGGGCTTCCCGTAAGGAGAAAGCTTTGGGGAAGAAGCAAGAGATTGACGTGGGCACTGAAGGTTGGGTAGAATTTGATGTTGAGGATGAAGGACGGAACGTCCCTAGTGGAACACCATCAGCAAAAGCTCAGAGGCAGGAAGGAATATAACAGGGTTGGAAGAGGGAGGAGCCAGATTTCAGTTTAGGAACTTATTGAAACAAGGCTAATAAAGTCTTAGAGGGCCTCAAAAATCAGGCTAAATGGTTTTAAACTTATATAAGCTGTAGAGAGTTAACTTTTTTTAAGGTTTGGTTTTTTTATTTTCATTATAATTTATTCTGGTAAACTTAAATGTTTTAATAAGTACATTTAACATGTATATAAAATAAGTTATATAAAGAACTAAAGAGAAAATGTAAAATATTTTTAAGAATTAAAAAGAACGGGTGCCTGGGTGGCTCAGATGGTTAAGCATCTGCCTTCAGCTCAGATCATGATCTCTGGGGCCTGGGATCAAGCCCCACATCGGGCTCCCTGCTTAGGAGGGAGTCTGCTTCTCCCTCTGCCCCTCCCCCTGCTCGTGCTCTCTCTCTCAAATAAATAAATAAAATCTTTGAGAGAAAAAAAAGAATTAAAAAGAACATATGGCCCAGTAGTAACTGTTTTGATTTTGATTTATCCTTTTTTAGTCTTTATATGTATGTATATATTTTTATAAAATTGGGATTCCTGCATAATGTTTTTTTCATTTAACATTACATAATAAGCATTTCCCAATCATTAAATATTCTAAGAAATCAACATTTTTTATTACATTATAATCCATTGTGTAGGTGCATCCTTTTATCAGAACCCCTTGGTGGGCATGACAGTTGTTTCTAATTTTCTGCTATTTGAAGTAACACTGTGATAAACACCACTGGATATAAACTTTATCTTTTTCTCATAATCATTTCTTTTTTCTTTTTCTTTTCTTTTTTAAAGTAATCTCTGCATCCAATGTGGGGCTCGAACTCACAACCCTGAGATCAAGAGTTGCATGCTGTACCGACTAAGCCAGCCAGGTGCCCCTCTCAGTCATTTCTGCATGGAATTAAAAGTGATTTTTTTTTTTTAGAGAGTTAACTGGTCCAAAGAAAATGAACTTCTGAAAGGTTTCATAATATGATTGAGCAGTTGAATGTGACATTTTGAAAGTTTTAATTTTAAGCAGATTAAACAAGTAGTGGTAGGCAGTAGAAATTCACTACTACTTCCCAATTTCCCAGTTTCCTCTGCTTCCCAGCTCTTCAGTCTTTAACCTCAGTCCTTGTGATAGACAGGAATGGATGTCTGTCCAGGACCTTATCTCTGCCCTCACGGTTTGGCCAGGTGACCATCAAGCATCCACCCTGTTGTCTCGTGATACCGATTCCCACCCTCACCCTCAGCATGTCTCATTTCCCCTGTCACAGCTGCCTGTGTCCTTGGAGTGCTATACAGAGCCTCCTGAAGATAACCTGGCCCTCCTTCAGCTCTACTTCCGGGCCCTGGTTACGGGTGCTCTCTGTCCACGTTGGTGCCCTGTGCTCTATGCTGTGGCCGTGGCCCATGTCAACAGCTTCATCTTCTCCCAGGACCCCAAGAGCTCAGTAAGTTACATCCCCATCTCCAGAGGGAAGAAGAGAGACTGCAACTGAGCTGCCTCTGGGTCAGCTGGGCAAGAGAGGAGGGTCGGATGAGGCCGGTGATGGGTGTCAGCCCTTGGCCCTTGGCCCAGTGCCATCTCTTCCTCCCTGTTCTGCCTCTAGGATGAGGTAAAGGCTGCCCGCAGGAGCCTGCTGCAGAAAACTTGGCTGCTGGCAGATGAGGTAGGATGGGGCACATCCCAGAGGGGAGTAAAATAGTAGGTGTTGGGGGGCAGAGATCTCAACAGGATCTCAGTACCTACTTCATAAAGTTTCTTCCCTTTTTGCAGGGTCTCCGGCAGCACCTTCTCCACTATAAGCTCCCTAATTCTGCCCTCCCAGAAGGCTTTGAGCTGTATCCCCAGTTGCCCCCTCTGCGTCAGCAGTACCTCCAGAGACTGACCTCAGGGATGCTCCAGAATGGGGTGTCAGAGGCCTAGTAGAGTTGCTACAGATGAAGACATGGATCCATTCTGCTGGGGTTCACCAGCACGTGCCTGGCCAGACAAAAGGATTTTGTGTACTAAGGGTGCACAGGAGACAGGAGCAGAAGGCTTGCCTTCCTGGGAACAGGCCATTTGAGCTTTTCTGGAGCAGGGTGAGCCCTACCATTATGTCCTGATGTCTGAAGCTCAGTTTCTGAGAGTCTGTATTGGGAGTGAAGGGTAATTTAACTTACCCCTCTTTTGGGGCCAAGACAAACTATGGACATCTCTCCTTCCCCTGCCCCAGACCAAGATATATGAATGCTATAGATGTGTACTGAAATAAACAATTTTTTTATCTCCTAGGAATCTGATTTGGACTGATTTCAGACATGGTACTTCAGGATTGGTAATGGAGGGATGGATTATCCCAGGGGAGAAGCAGGACTTCTGTGAGAGATGGGGGAAGTAAAAACTAAGTCCACGGGCGCCTGGGTGGCTCAGATGGTTAAGCGTCTGCCTTCGGCTCAGGTCATGGTCCCGGGGTCCTGGGATCGGGTCCCGCATTGGGCTCCCTGCTAGGCGGGGAGCCTGCTTCTCCCTCTGCCTCTGCCTCTCTCTCTCTCTCTCTGACTCTCATGAATAAATAAAACATTTAAAAAAAAACAAACAAAAAACTAAGTCTACACCTGGGACAACGAAAATGTGGGTCCCAGTTCTGGAGTAGAGCCAGGCCAGGGTAATGCTCTTGGGAAGGGGTACTTCTTTAAGGACTCTCGGCAGTCCACTTGGAGTTTAAGTATCCTTAGTGAGGTCAGCGTCTTGTCTCCTTATGGTCCATCAACTGCTATCCTGAGATATGAAGAAACCAAAAGCCAAACTGTGCAGTAGCTGTCTGTCTTAATCTTTTTTTTTAACTTTTTTTTTTTAAGATTTTATTTATTTACTTGACAGAGAGATAGTGAGAGAGGGAACACAAGCAGGGGGAGTGGGAAAGGGAGAAGCAGGCTTCCCGCCGAGCAGGGAGCCCGATGCGGGGCTCGATCCCAGGACCCTGGGGTCATGACCTGAGCGGAAGGCAGAAGCTTAACGACTGAGCCACCCAGGTGCCCCTGTCTGTCTTAATCTGTTTGGTCTGCTGTAACAGGATACCATAGACTGAGTGGCTTATAAACAACAGAAATTTATTTCTAACAATTCTGGAGGCTGGGAAGTCCAAGATCAAGGTGCTGACACAGTTGGTCTCCAGTGAGGACCCACTTCCTGGTTTGTGGACAGCCCTCACATGGTGGAAGGGACATGGGAGCCCTCTGGGTCTTCTTTATAAAGACACTAACCCCCATTCCACCCATGAGGGTGGAACCTTCATGACCTAGTCACTTTCCAGAGCCTTGCCTCCAAATACCCTCACATTGGGTATTAGAGTTCAACATATGAACTGGCGGGGGTGGGAGGGGGGAGTGGACACAAACATTCAGCCTATAGTGCTGTCCTACAACTCTCCCTCCATTTTGGACTTTAGTGGTGGTAGGTAAGGGCTGGGAAGGAGTGGATCAAACCATGAACTCCGGTTCATTGGTTCATCTCTTTTGGTAGAGTTTTTCAGTTCTTTGTTTAAATTCTAACACTTAAGCTTTCTTACAGTGTCATTTTCTGTGTGGGATTCCCTGTGTTCACAGGTCATCAGAGTGAGTGCAGTGTGCCCTGTCAGTAGGTAGAGAGAATCCACTTCCCATAAACAGAGCCGCTGGACACCGAATTACACAGTAGGTTTTATAAGCAACCACTGCATCTGCAAACAGCATACTCCCCAAACTCGTGACAGAAATCTGCACGAAATCATCTGCAGAGTGTGTTAAAACAAACTGCTAGGCCCTTCACCAGTGTTTCTGATTCAGGGGATCTAGGGTGAAACCCAAGAATTTGCATCTCTAACAGATTTTCAGGGGGTGCTGATGCTGCTATCCAAGCCCAAACACTTTGAGAACCACTGGCTTAGTGGAACCTTACCAAGTAAATTCTGTGACCTCACAGTGGGGTACCTCCAGAGTTCAATAGAGCATGGGTCCTAGAGTGTTTACAAAATCACTGTAGTATCTTTATTTAGCACTATATTCTCAGAGACAACCAAGTAGCTAACTACTATCACTTCTTTTTTTCCAGAGCTTTATATTAAACATAGGCCTTAGCCTTTAAAATTAGTGTTTTGGAGGGGTGCCTCAGTGGCTCAGTTGGTTAAGTGCCTGCGTTCGGCTCAGGTCATGATCCCAGGGTCCTGGGATTGAGCCCTGCAGCTCTCTTGGGCTCCTTGCTCAGCAGGGAGTCTACTCCTCCCTCTCCCTCTGCCCCTCTTCCCGGCTTGTGTTCTCTCTCTCTCTAAATAAATAAATAAGATCTTTTTTTTAAAAAAAGAGCACTTCCCATATGTTATTACATACACCCACATCCTACCACCAATGAAGCACTCACCCCACTGCTCCTGATGTGAGAGAGCTAGAAAGACCTAGAAGCCTGGGCAGGGTGTCTGGGGTGTGGCTTGCCACTTTTTCCACACTCCTGCCTCAAAGCGGGGGGCACTTTCTCCCCTACCTTGGGATCCAGCACCCCTTGGAGGGGTGCTCACAAAGATCTTCCAGGAAGCTTGGGGACCTTGCTGCCCACATGCCCCACCCCTTCCTCCTTCAGCATCCTGGGGTCTGAGGTGGGAGTAGCCAGGCTGGCTTTAGGACCCGCAGTGTCTAGCAAGCAGTTGGACTCTGCTATAAGGGGCAGGCCGGCCAAGGTGACAAGGTCTGAGGCCACAGCCCTAGCTGTGGCAGGCTGAACAAGCCAGGGACTGCTCAGGCTGGCTGCTGCTGTGGCTTAGAGCAATGGGCGAGTACCTCAGTCAAGGAACCATCTGGCTAGAGGCATCTTCCTAGGCTCGGGAACAGCAGTTGAGACAGACTGGGTCCTAGTGGCCCCCCCAGAGGCCTGGAACCCTCAAGGCCAATGCTTCTGGGTCAGTGTTCCTGGTGAGTGGGCCCAGAAGCACAGTGCGGGCCTGAATTCAAGGTACCCCACCACGCAGCTTGGGAAGGAGGGACAGGCTCTGGGGTCTCAGCACCGCTGGGGGTGACACTACCTAGCTATGTCGAGGAAAGGATGGGGGGCCTGCAGGACCGAATTCAGTGCAGCCCCCAGGTCATTCACTGGGAAGGACTCCCCAGGGGAGAAACTTGCAGAGGTATCAGCGGGCACCCCGAGGGGCTTCAGTGACTGGAGTCGGTCAGGGCTGGCTTCCGGGTGCTGGTGTGCCCTGGCTGGGTGGGGTTAGGACCACGACCGCAAGGGGCAAGGGCCAGCTGTTGAGAGGTTATCTCTTTATCTCGTCCCCCATTAACCTCCTGCCACCTCTCCCAACCCCGCTGTCTTGTTGTCACCTTTCAGGAGCCATTCTCCGCTCCAGCTTGGGGTCCCAGGCACATTTTCTGCCATCCTCACCCCGTCGCTGCTAGCTCCTAGCCCGCAAGATGTGAACGTCACCACCCCATCTAGTGGCTTAGAGCCAGCTTCTCCCCTAATTCCCCCAGGTCAGCTCCAGGCTCTTCCTCCCTTCTCTGCACACCTTACCAGGCCAGGGCAGATGCTCTATGACCCTTTCCTCCCTCCCTGCTCCAAGGCACTGAAGGGCCTTGGCTGTTCTCCTGTGGGGCCAGCAGCCGGCAAGGGCCCACATAAACACAGTGTAACAAGGCACACACCGGCAGCAGCGTGGTGGTGACAGTGGGGGCCTCTGAGCCTCTGAAAGGCATGCAGCTGTGTCGGGCTCCAGCCACCAGCAAGTACCTGTAAGTGTGAAGCAGGGAGAGGTGGGTGGTGACCCGTGTGTCTGAGGTTCTAAAGTCAGGGGATCCAAGGCCTCGGGCACACTACGTTGTCGTAGGATATTCCACAACCCTGTGTGGCCCTAGCAACTTTGTCCCTTCTTCCAGCGGAACCAGGGAAGGTGGCAATGGTCGCCACTGAATTATCCAATACCTAGGAGCCTGTTCCCTGCAAATGGAGAGCCCTTAACCAGCGGTGGCGCCAAGCGGTGGCTTGAGCCCCCCCCCCCCATTAAGCCTCCTAAAATAAGTGTAAAATCGAATTTTCTGGTGTGCGGACCTAGTCTTCCCATCTTTTCTAAATCGACAGCCTCTTAAGTCCCTCAGATAACAAATTCTGGAGCGGCTTTTGTCACTAACCTCTGCCGCAGGCGGGCAGCCCGAGGACCGAAGAGCGAGGGCCAGCGACTCAGCGTCCTCTTCCTGCAGGATCTCAGCTTACGGAGCTGCGGGGGGCAAAGGTGCCAAGAACCACCTGTCGCGGGCGCACGGCGTCTTCGTGTCCGCGGTCTTCTCCCTTGGTCGCGGGGAGCCGCTTCACATCCCAGTGGGGCAGCAGGGAGAGGACGCCTGTCCCGGAGTAAGCGGAGGCAGCGGGAAGGGGCGGCTCGAGCTCCTCAGGGCTAGGGCCGAGCGGAGCGAGGGGCGCTCCTCCGGGACGAGACGGCGGCGCTGCGAGGGGAGCGATCCGGGCCCCGCCGAATCTGGCGCCCGCTGCCCGCAGGGGAGCCCGGAGAGCCAGCTCGTCTGCCTCGGAGAGTCTTGGGCCGCTGCGGAGGACGCGGCGACGGAGGGGGCCGCAGGGGTCTCGGGGTCGCGGGGCGGGAGGCGGCGGGGGCGCCACCTATGTCTTTCCGGTACGTGCTTGCCTCGGCGCGGTCGGCTCCCGCCCCCAGCAATTCGCGTTGGGGTCCCAAACTTCTTGCTGCGGGCGCGCACACACAAGCTCTTCGTACGGGCCTTGGGGTCCCCAGTCCCTGGGCCCGGCCCGGCCCCTTACTCCAGTGCCTGGTGCCCGGTCCTCACTCGACGGCTGGACGGCACGCCGCTGGCCCCGTAGCTGCGCGCCGGCGAGCTGGAGCCACTGCGGGTGGCGGCCGGAGGAGGCGGGCGGGCCTACTGAGGCGGCGGGACCGAGGCCGGCTTCAGGCCGCCCCTGAGAAACTGGAGAACCGCTCGGCGGCGGCCGGGAGCAGCGGGAGAGGCGGCGCGGCAGGTGAGGGCGCGGGGCGGCGGGGAGAGGCGGGCGTGCTCCCCATCCCCGCTGACAGTCATCCGGCTGTCGCCCCGCAGGTGGAGAGGCGGCTGGACGTCGCGGGCCCCCTTTCCGCAGGCGGGCCGCTCCCTACGGGAGGGGGCGGAGGGCGGCCGGGGCTGCGCAGAGGCCTGAGCTACGCTCGGCTGGGCCGCAGCCGGCGGCTTCGGGGGCGGCGGCGGGGCCTGTACTGCGGGTGGAGGCGGAGCGGCTACTGGGGAAGGTGCACTCTCGAGGAGGGCAGCGCGGCAGCTCCCAGGGTGAAGTGGCGTTGGAACCTTACAACAGGCCCTCTGGAGGATAGATGGGGAAGGGGTTGAGCACCCCCTCCGGGCCCCAGAGCAAGTAGAGTAAGAGCTCTTAGAAAAGAGATTAAGTAGGGACACCTGGGTGGCTCAGTCGGTTAAGTGTCTGACTCGGTTTCAGCTCAGGTCCTGATCTCAGGATCAGAAGACGGAGCACCGCCTAGGGTTCCACGCTCAGTGTGGAGTCTGCTTAAGATTCTCTCTCTCTCTCCTTCTGTCCCTCCCCCACGCGTGCGCAAGCTCTCTCCCTTGCTGTCTCTCATAAATCTGGGGCGCCTGGGTGGCTCAGTCGTTAAGC